TTTTGAGTATATTCTTTAACTATTTTCTTTGCAGTTACCATAGGGATTACATTTAACATGCTAAAATTATAATACTTCACCTTGAATTTATGCCAGCTCAACTTTAATAATATGCAAAAACTCTGCTCATTTATAGCTCTGTTCTCAGAAATTGACATCACAAAATTACATCTTTATATATTGTGTATCCAAAAACATGAATTAATAATTGCTTTTTTAAAATGTATTAGTCTCTTAAATTACATAGAAACCGAATTATGGAATTAGAATGAAAGTTCCAATAATACTAGATTTTAGGCTAATAATAATTTTTAAAGCAATATATCAATCTCTTAAGTCATGTAGAGAACCAAAATTGGAGTTTTAAACCACCGTCACTATAACACTAGATTTTATCATTGCCCATGTATTTATGTTTATTTCTTCATATGGCTTTGAGTTACTATCTGGTATCTTTTCATTTCAACCTACAGGACTCCTTTTAGGATTTCTCACGGGGTGGGTCTAGTAGTGACAAACTCCCTCAGTTTTTGTTCATCTGTGAATGTCTTAATTTCATCCTCACTCCTGAAAGGACAGTTTTGCTGGATATAGAATTCTTGGCTGACAGTTTTTTTCTTTTAGCATTTTGAATATATCAGCCCACTGCCTTCTGGCCTCCAAAGTTTCTGATGAGAAATCTGCTCATAATCTTACTGAGGATCTCCTGTAAGTGACAAGTCACTTCTCTCTTGCTGCATTCAAGCTTATCTCTTTATCTTTGGCTTTCAGTGGCCAGATTATAATGTGTCTCAGTGTGGGTCTCTTTGATTTCATTCTTCTTGCAGTTCAGTGAGCTTCTTGGATGTTTATATTCATGTCTTTAAACAAATGATCATTTTCTTTTGTCTTTGTTGGTGACCATGACTGTGGCCCATTCCTTGTTCTGTCACCTATATATCCACTGGGAGGAGGCTGATCTGGGATGCAGGCACCAAGACAAACCTAGAATTGCAGGAGAGTATTGGGGGTGGTACCTGAGAAGGATCAAGGGAAGGACAGCCATGGGCTAGCAAAGCCTTTAGATCATGATGCAGGTCTGATATCTGTTAAAGAGGGAGAAGGAAGGAAGATTGGATAGGAAGAGCCTCAGACTGTGGTGTAGTTCTGAGGAGTCTCATTCAGACCAGCAGGGCTTTGGCACAGTGATAACCTGTGAAGGAATCCCACATTAACCAGAAATGGCCAGGACTTAATATCCCCACCATGCTCAGTCATTCATTGGAGGCTGCCTGGGAAGAGCGTGCCAAATTCTTTCCTGAAGGGAGAGATACGTACCAGTGGTGCACTGCCATGTGGCCCTCTGTATCACAGAATTCTTAACAGTAGAAAAGATCCTTGTAGAGTAACTGGCTAATCCACCTCCCTCTATGATAGATGTCATCCGTGACATTCTGAATAAATGAGTATATGTCATATTTTAAAACATGTTCAGAAAAGATCGTACATATCCCTCTTGTGTTTAATTTTAAATACCAGAAGATTTTTCTTTGTCTAATCTCAAACCTCTAGGCTGTGGTATAAACCAGTTTTCTTGATCTTGTCATCAAGACTTGCAATATGTGTGGACTTCTAAAATAATACTAAATAAATTTTTGCCTTCAAAGTTCTCTCTTGATCTTCTGTGAAGAAAAAGATTCAAGCTTTCTTGATCGAGTTTAGCAGGCAGGCAATGGTGATATCGCTAAGTATTTTTTTTTTAAAGGTTTTTTTATTTATTCATTCGAGACACAGAGATACAGAGAGAGGGAGACAATATGAGCAGGGGGAGAAGCAGAGGGAGGGGGAGAAGCAGGCCCCCCGCTGAGCAGGGAGCCTGGTGCGGTGCTCAATCCCAGGACCCCGGGATCATGACCTGAGCCGAAGGCAGACACTTAACCATCTGAGCCACCCAGGCACCCCATTATCACTAAGTATTAACTAAAGAATCATTCTCAGCTGTGGAATTGAGTGAACTGAGTGCTGTAATCAGTAGGTTAGGAGTTTCAGATCTTGATGCAGGGCCATGCTCCCCTTGGCATGGATCTTCAGCTTTTATGTGAGTGTGTGGGTGCCTCATGCCATCATTCCCGGTCTCTTACTACTTTACTTTCTGTTCTCTACAAAAAGGAAGTAAGGCGATGGAAACTAAGATTTCAGTGCCTACACAATGTTGTAATGACTCTGCTGTGGGTTTGATATAACTCATTTAATGTTAACATAAAATTGTGGGAGATAGGTGTCATTCACCCTGCTGCATAGGCGAGGAAACCAAGATCACAAATTCATAAATGTAAAGATTTCAAATTTCAACTGACTGCAACACCCATGTTTTTGCCACTATGATTTTCAAACTGTGTTTCAAGGATCCTTGATGTTCCACAGATGCAGAGTTCTAGGTCTTCTGCCTCCACATCAACCAGAGAAGCCTCTATTTCCGGGCACCCTGTAGACAGTTTCCCCATAAGAATGTGTTTGAAAATAAATGGGAGGGGATGACCTTAAAAGGACAAATAATTTAGAAAACCAATCCCTTAAATTGTGCAGCCTCCTCAAGATAATGACCTGTATTTGTTACCCATTTCTATATGTAGACAGATTTACCATTAATTAGACCATCTTAATGCTGCTAACATGCATATTCTCAGAGAAAATGCTTAAAAAGAAGAAATGCTAGGTGTCTGATAGGAATGATAATAGCCGGGGCACCTGGGTGGCACAGTCGGTTCAGCACCTGCCTTCGGCTCAGGTCATGATCCCAGAGTCCTGGGATGGAGTCCCACATAGGGCACCCTGCTCAGCTCCCTCTGCCTGCCACTCCCCCTGCTTGTGCTCTCTCTCTTTGTCAAATAAATAAGTTAAATTAAATTAAAAAAGGAATGATTATAGCCACAATATATTGAGCATCTCTCATATGCCATGATCTGTTTACATAAATCTCAAGTAATCCCTGTAACAGCCCTCCCCAAGGTAAGTAAGGATATTCCCATTTCATAGTTGAGAGAACTTAAAGGGACTGGAACAAAGTGAGAGGCAGAGCTAGGAGTTGTTCCAGGTTTGTCTGGACTTAGAGCTGATTATGTACATCATATCAACTCTTTTTTTATGTTCAATTAGGCGACATGTAGTACATCAGTTTTTGATGTAGTGTTCAACAGTTCATTAGTTGCATATAACGCCCAGTGCTCGTCATGTCAGCTCTTACGAGGATTTATGGGGGGGGTTATATAGGGGATTAATTATACCTCATGGGGGTTACCACATGCTCCACACTGAGCACATAAATCGTGTCCACCTGGAGGTGATGACTGGGCATATTGCATCCATCCTCCCCAGTGCCTGCACCTGCCGTCCCCTGGCCTGTGTCTGTGAGAGGGCCCAGCATCGTGCAGGCATGTAGTGGGGGTGGCAGTGGCACTTGTCATCCTGTGCCCAGGAGGCACAGTTTGCTTCGTAGCATGAGACGATCCCCACCTTTGGGGTAGTAGAACACTGAAAGTGGAAAATTCTGAGCTGTTACACCTTTCTCCAGAGTCGTTGGTGGTTAGCCCATGCCAATGAGGCAGTTCCCTAGCGAGTCTGGTAGTGCTTGCCTTTGCTTACTGCCACCTGACAGGTGAGGTTGGCTCCCATCAGCTACCCAGAGCTCTCTCTATCCCACTGCTCATTCCTTACAGTATCCGCTGCCCCTCTGCCCCTCTGCTCTGTTTTTCTGTGTTAAACTTTGGTCGCCATGAAGTACATGAAGGACATACATTGCGTAAATGCATCACCATTTTTAGTATGCCGCAAATTATGTTAAATTTCATATATATATATATATTCTTTTGAAAAGCTATCTTTTAAAAGTCATAGCATTAAAATACATGACATTCTTATACGAAGAAACACAAAGGAAAACACGAAATGAGGGGAGTTTTCATGTTTAAGAGTTGAAATGTTTCTCGCACTTTGCACTGAGGCATCTCAGGTGGTATAAGGGTGGAGCCAAGGACATTCTTGCCTTGGGTGCTGAATGCATCAGCATGTCATGTGTGGACATGCAGAAACATTCATCAGGGCAAAGCGGGGGCTGGTGAAGGGGAGAAGCTGCTCTGAGGAAAAAATATACCCTTTCCTATATCCTTGTCCAGTGCTGCTAGGAAGTCGACCTGATTCTTAACCGGGTCTTTTTTCTATACCCCAGACAGGAGGATTTGTAAAAGTTACACTGGGCGGGGTGGTTTCAGCATCCATTTTGCCAGTTGCCTGTCCCATTCTTTCCAATCCATCTCTTCCTATTTTATGAATATTAAACACAAGAAGGGTAAATTATTGATAATCGACTTTACTAAACTAATAAATTAATTTTTGAAAAACCTGTTGATTAATTTAGTACATATCTGGCAGTAAATTATGAATCCAGAAGGACAAGCAAAGCCCCAGAATACTTTTCTCCAAAATGTAATTAGGTAAAACTCTTTGGTGGATCAACCCTTTCCTCTTCAGCTTAAGTAAATGAATGTTTTTGTCTCTGAACTAAACTAAAAACTTAATTGAAGTTTCTGTTGAAACATAATTCTAAATAAAAGTAATATCAGTGTTGGTGTCTTCTATTTCTAAATTACAACTAAATACTCAGAAGTTTCTTTTGCATATAGTTTTGTTACTGGGCCAATCTATAATAAAGTGTTACTTTTCAAAAGTGAAAAAAAAAAGGTACATAAGCAGCTTAAATCAGGACAATGAGGATCCTGTAGTGTATTTTTCTAATACTTGGTTCCTTTGGTTCAGCTGCCAAACAGCAGTGAGGGCTCAAACACTTAATAAAGCAACTCTCCAAAGGATCCAAGACCAGACAAGAGGTGAAACTGGTTGGTACGGAAAGTTTTCAAGGTGTAGCTTCAGGGAAGGACGCTTAAGAACTATAGCTTATTTTTTCAGTATTTTTTAGAATAACACATGTATGTATGTATTTTAACTGATGATTTATTTGGATTAAGATTTCCCTCTTAGAGCCCGAGTTATCAGTAATATAGGAAAACACCAGAGGAACCTGTATGAAAAGTCAAGAGACAGTGCAAGTACAAGATTTGAATGAGGTAAGAAATAAAAAGGTAATTTTCAGTGAAAGCTGCTAATACAGGTGAGGCAGACTCCATAAGGATGCTTAAGAATAGCTGAATATAGGCAAAGGGAGAAAATGCACCCCCAGGAGTGGTAAATCTATATCCTGTGATTGTGATCAGTGGTTACAGAAAGCCTTCCCAGGAGTAGTCAGTTAGGAAGGAGCCCACTGAAAATGTATTTTGGATAAACTAGTGTGTTGAAATTGTAAGGATGGTTTAAAGGTATTGCCTCACAACTGAGTAAATGTGAAAATTCAGAACCCAATAACATAAACTGCCATTTACAGAGCATTTGCCTACATGTGCGTAGGCATCATTATCCCTATTTTTCTGATGACGAAACTGAGCCTAAGTTAAGTAACGGGCTCAGTTTTCCACTACTGGTAAATAGAACAAAACCGGTAAGACTTTTTTCCCATGAATCATTCTTGGTTTCCCAAGTTGGAGAATAGAGACCTATGAATTTCATGCTGCTCTCTGGCGGGCTGGTACAAACGAGCAGTTAGCTCACTGAACAGGTGTGCTCTGACTGTCAAGAAGGGTCTGCAGCTTGATGACAGTATTACGAGAATTGGCTCAGTTCTCAGTCTATAGCCACCAAATTCATTTTGGCCTCAATTTAATTTCCTAATAGGTTTTTGTAACAAGAGAAAATATACTTTGGCAAGTCCGAATAGAATAGATATTAAAAGTAAGGACTTATTTTGAATCCCAGTGCTATGTGATCTTGGGAAAAATACCTAATATATCTGAGCCTCGCCTTCTCTGTAAAAAAAAAATATATATATATATAGTAGTTCCAATTTCGTAGAGGTCCTGGGAAAACAAAATGAGATAATGCAAGTAAAGCATGTATCATGATGTCTGACACATGGCAAGCACTAACTAGTAGCTGCTCTCATTATTATTGCAATTATTATTATCAATTAATCTGGGAAGATTTTAACAAGACTTTATATTTGGTAGGTGCTTAACAAAATACATTCAAAATCTCACTTCATTCCTACTCTGATGGTTATAATGTATCTAGAACAAGTGTCAGCTCCGTTTTACAGTTGAGAAACAGGCTCAGAGAGAAAAATGTCTCTTACGAGCTATGGTACCATGAATTACTTTTCCCAGCTTCATATCTCCCCTAGATGACTATATAATTGAGTTAGATGGGAAATTATTATTATCAGAATTTATAAGAAACATGATTAAAGTATATAGAATTAATTATGTAAAATGCTTTTTGCAGATTTTGAAAATGAGCCAAGAAAAAATCGAAATATTTGAAAGTGAGTCATCAGAAGAAAGCAGAAGGCAATTGACATCTGATTTTAATATTATACAGAAGACTTTGAGAGTTGAAAGTGAGGTATTTTGCCACTTAGGATGTTATTTCCCTCTTTAGGGATCTCATGTTACCATTTAGTTTGACTTTAAAATAAATCGTAGCTATAGAATGTGTGTTTCTGTTAGTAATAATGGGGTGAGTGTCCTTTCCACAAGCTGAGTTCCAGGACCAGGCAAAGAGGGGCCTTTAAGTAGCAGGTATTTGATTATTATGGTGGTCATAGAGTCATGGACTTGTCTCTCCTTTTAACTGCTTGTCCTACCATCTTGGAAAGATCTATCAGGAGACAACCAGCCTATATTTGGAAGAGAGACCTGGAAGTGAGTCCATGGAAGTCTAGATCACCAATTTAGAGGACGGTGACACTTATATCAGTTTGCAGGGTGGGTGACAGCCAGTGCATTGCCCCAAATCCCATCCTGATGACCTACAGAAATTTTCAATGCAATGAGGTAGGAAACTGATACCACTTGACCTCTTCCTGTGGTTTTGGGTAGCCACTCTCTATTTTCTCTCCTTTTTGCCCAACGCCTTCCTCATCAACACTCTCTTCCCCTTCTGATTTCAAGGCTTTGGGAAAATACCAAGTAACTCCTCTCCTAAAGTAAATTTCATATCACCTATTCCCATCATAGGGCACCACAGATTCTCAGGTCCCAGTCGTCCACCAACCAAACTGTATATTCCATGTCATCAGTGTAGAAATTTGATAAGAATCTACATATAACTGAAGTGTTTGCTCTCACGGATATATAGCCTCTGGAAAATCAGAGGCTTAGAGGAAACCCTAGTTGATTAAGTCACTGAATATACATTATTAAGTAAGGCAGCATAATTTGTAGTTAAGAACACAGTTTGAAGTTGGTCAGACAGTTGAATCTCAGCTTTACCACTTCCTAGCTATGTGAATTTAGGCAGGCCACTTACACTCTCTGAGCCTGTTTCAGTAGCCCAGCTGCATGGGGTTGTCACAAAATTAAAGGCATGGTTGTTCTGTAAAAGGTAACTTTAAAAAAGATACATGTTAAAACAGGTAATATAACTAATGCAGGGGTTGCTGAAGAATTTACCTCTCTAGAAGCCTTGCTGAAAGTAGGAATGACTCTAGAAGCCCAGTGAATGATAGAAACCAAGAATGCTCAGTTTAATTAATTGATTTAAGTAAACTTTAATTACTAAGAAAGTAGTTCTGCCAGAAGAATAAGTTGGAATATTTAAAACACAAAAAATATGTGAGAGTCATTTCAAAGATTCCTCTTTAGAAGTATTATACATTTTATGCAGAAAGTCTTATTTTATTTTACTAAATATCTCTATTTCTTAATCAGGGATTGCAAAAATCAAAGTCAGAACTTAGATGCCTTTATAATGAAATTCAAAGTCTTCCAGGGGCATCAAGAGACAGAAACTATTTTTTAATAGCATATAACCTGCTACAAAGAGAGAATTTTGAATTAGAAACAAAGGTGAGACTGAATTAATTATTTAAATGTTCAGTGTTTGATTTTATCTTTTATTAGGATAAGATAAAAGGAAATTAATTTTCAGGAAGAGATGACTTGGAAATTGGGGTTTCTTTTATTATTATAGAATAAATTGCCATTAGTGTAGGTTATAAGCCAAGCTGCATCTCAGAATAGACTTCAACCAGTACTTCACTCTTAGGATTACTCTGTGAATTTTTTACTTTAAATCAGTTTCCCAACAGCTTAATTTTTGGAGCACATATTATAATGTAAAAGGTTTACTTAAAAATAGAACTACCAAATGATCCAGCAATTCCACTCTCTGGATATATGCCCAAAACAATTGAAAGCAGGGTCTTGAAGAGATAATTTGTACACCCATTTTCATAGCAGCATTATTCGCAATAGCTAAAATGTGGAAGTAACCCAAGTGTTCATTGATGGATGAATAGATAAGCAAATTGTGGTATGTACACACAATGGAAAGTTATTCAGCCTTAAAAAAGGAGGGAAATCCTGCAATATGCTACAACATGGATGAATCTTGAGGACATTATACTAAATGAAATAAGCCAATCACAAAAACACAATACTATATGATTCCAATTATGTGAGGTACTTAGAGTAGTCAAAATCATAAAGACAAAAAGTGTAATGGTAGTTTCAGGGGCTGGGGGAGAGGTCGAGGGGGAGTTATTGTTTAATAGGTATAGAGTGTGTTTTATAAGATGAAAAGAGTTCTGGAGATAGATGATGGTAATGGTCACACAACCATGTGAATGTATTTAATACCACTGAACGGCACACTTAAGCGTGTAAGGCTAAGATGGTAAATTTTATGTTATGTGTATTTTACCACCACCCCCAAAATTCAAGACAAACAAAAGTTTACTTAAATGTCTTCATCCTTAAACCTTTGAATCAAAGCATTTTTTTTTCAGTTATATTGAAAATTAGGTTCATACTTAGAATTAGGAAAATGTTTAAATGTCCTGACCCTAATGTGTTCCCCAAGTATAAAAATGGCTGCCAGACCAGGGTTAGATGGAGAGGTTGCCTGCAGGGTGATTCCTGGAGTCCCACTTATCATTAACTACTCCTGGCTGAAAATTCTCTTCCTCAGTTACTCTTGGTCTTGATTAAAATGGTAGGAAGGAGTGAAGGCTTGAACACACAATTAAAATATATTGGGTTGTATTTCCATACCACATGTGAACTGGAGGACTAAGTCCAGGCCTCATTTACCCTCTCTGAAGTTGTTATCCTGAAAGCAGGGTACAAGTTGTTGAGGGATTGGGACATGGATCAAAATAGTATGTGACCTAAGGAGGGAAAGATCCAGGACATGGGTTTGCTACCTAGAAAGGTGGATACATGGGGCACATCCTATAACTAAGCTTTATTTGTGGGACCTCGTCAGCAACGTGAGTTATCATCACACTGTACAATTAAAGGATTTTGTGTTATGAAATATCCCTGGACAGCACAACACAGAAGAGGAACTGAGGCAACAGGAATATAATGTAAAAATGAGAGGTCCAGATCACTATCCTGGTAATCTGCCTCTCCCTTGTTCTCTCTTTTAAAAAACATTTTTTTTTAAAGATTATATTTATTTATTTGAGACAGAGAGAATGAGATAGAGCATGAGGGGGGGAGGGTCAGAGGGAGAAGCAGACTCCCCGCTGAGCAGGGAGCCCGATGCGGGACTCGATCCCGGGACTCCAGGATCACGACCTGAGCCGAAGGCAGTCACTTAACCAACTGAGCCACCCAGGCGCCCAAAAAACATTTTATTTTGAAATAATTTCAGACTTACAGAAAAGTTGCAAAAATAGTACAAAGAATTTCCATGTACCTTCACCCCTTCAATATTAGTATGGTACCACATTTGCTTTATCACTCTCCCTCTCTCTCCCTTTCTCCAAAAATACCCTTCTTTAAAACCACAGATTTATGCATTCTTATGCCTATGGTAAAAACGGATTAGATTACATAACAACCCCAAAGTGTTAAGTTAAATTAGAAGAAGACTTCAAATAGGATGTCAATTTATATTATTTGTCAATAATTATTTAAGCATTTAATGGAATGTACTTTCTCATAATTATATATTAGAATATGCAAAATAGGATATTTGTCTTCTCACTTTACAGGTCTTGAAGCTTTCACAAGAATTTGAACAATTAAATCATTTTACTGTAGGGAGAAAAACTGCACCGACTAATTTAATTACAAGTGAAAATATCTGTAAAGATATATATAAAGATGTGTCTAAACTACCAATTTTGGAAGTAGAGATTCAAAGCCCAAAGGAAGAGAGAGAGGAACTCTGGTAAATTGAGAAAGTCCCGTATCACATTAATTATTTGGGGGGTACAATTACCCTATTTGGCTTGATCATTGTAAGAATTTGACATTCATTTCCAAATGATGTGAATAGAAAAATTAATTATAAGTAAGCATTCCCCCAAAGAGTTTGTCTTTTGATATATTATTACATTTTTAAACCTTTTCTTGCTTTTTAAAATAAATTTATGCTTTTTGTAGAAAATTTGGAAAGCATGGAAAAATAAAAGGCATGATAATAACCCATAGTTTCACCAGGGAAATTTGTTAATGTCCTAACTTAGACTATACTCTGCCAAGAGATTTTTTGCTGTTTTTATTTAACATTGTATCTGATGATCATTTTGATAACCTTTTCTTTCTTCCTTCCTTCCTTCCCTCCTTCCTTCCTTTCTTGTTAATCTTGCCCTCAAACTCTTGTATTTCTGCTTTTTCAACAGAAGTATCTTTCACAGAAACTTTTGAGACTTTTGGCTAATGCTTTTCTGCTTTGGCACAAAAACTAATAGATGCAATCAAATTTTGTCTGGGCAAAATCCTAGAACTAGATCATCAGAAGAAACAATAGATGGCAATTTTGACTTATATACTATATACTGAAGGATACATCATCAGTGAACTAGGAAAATATGGTCTAGGTGCAGCCAAAGTTCTATCTTTGTAAACATCTTAACGTAGAAGGAGGGTTTTTTGTTTTTCGGGGTTTTTTTGCTAGTTTTGGACTGCTGAATTTTATGCCTTCCTAAAAGTTGCTTTTACCTTTAGAGTGTGCTCTGAGTCCAAGATTCCCAATCATGAAGCCAAGTTGCAGAAGTGGGAAAAGCATATTAGAGACGTGGTGGGGAACAGGCATGATAGTGGTCACAAGAGCGAAGAGCCGAGAAGGTCGGTCACAGCATATAGGTTTGCTATAGGGGAAAAAGGAAGTCTAGTTCTTGAGCATTAGAACGGTGTATTACCAGGTTTTTAAGGGAGATTGTTCTAGTATCTCTAGAAGAGATAAAGTGAAGAAGAAAAACAGACCTATTAATCCAGATATGAGCCACAGATGAAGAGATAGTGGCCTGATTGAGTAGGTGGCAATGGAGTTGAAGTGACCACTCTGAACATTCTTCAGAGAAGATGTTAACGTTAATTATCAAAGCTGACAAAAATCCACCCAGCTGACTTGGGATCATTGGTAGGGATACTTGCCACAGG